CCGCCCTCTTCGGCCGAAAGAGCAAGTCTCCTGCTCCCGGCAACGACAATCCCTACGCACAAGCTCCGGCTGGCGGCGATCCCTACGCCCAGGACGCGAATAAGTACGCCGGCATGACGCCCTATCAACGAGCACGAGCCGGTGTGCCCATCAATGGCGGTGCTCCCGGCGGTCTTCCTGGCGGCCCGAGGGCCGGTGCTGGCTACGGTGCCCCGCCACAGCCTGCCGGTGGGTACGGGAATGAAAAGTACGGGGCCGCAGGAGGATACGGTGCGAATCGCTACGACAACAACCAGAACGCCTACGGCGCGAATCAGCGATCAGGTGCCAATGGCGGGGCTCGCGGACCCGGAGGCTACGGCGGTTTGGGCCGGACCAACAGTGACAGCACCGATGCTGTGCGCGACGAGCTCTTCAGCGGAGCTCAAGACAGATACCAGCAGAACAAGCCGCAGGATGGAGGCTACGGCCAATCGACGACTCCGTCTGGCGCTGATGGGGGATACGGCGGATACGGAGCTCCCCGTGAGCTCACAGCCGAAGAGCAAGAGGAGGAGGAATACCGAGCTACCAAGTCACAAATCAAGGATATCAGAAATGAGTCTCTTCAGGCCACCCAAAGAATGCGTCAAAACGCGAGCGCTACTGAAGACATAGCCAATGCGACACTTGCCCGGCTTGCTGCTCAAGGCGAGCGTCTGCATAACACGGAAAGGAACATGGACATAGCGGCAAACCACAACAAGAAGGCGGAAGAGGGCGCCAAGGATCTTAAAAAGGCCAATGGAAGCATGTTTGCAGTTCACATCGCCAACCCATTCACATCCAAGTCGCGTGCGGCAGAACGAGATGCGGCGATTCTCGACCGACACCGCCAGGAGCGTGAGGTTCGCGAGGCAACCAGACACGAGGCTTTCAAGTCCAACCAGCGAATGGAAGATACCTTCAGGGAAATGTCGCTGTCTGGTCGTCCTCAAAGGGAGTCAGAGGGACAAACCAAGAAGAATTTCACTTTACTCGATAGTGAAGACGAGGAAGAAGAAGAGAAAGAGAGGGCGATTGATGACAATATCACCGCTATTTCCGGTTCGGCTGCGCGTCTTAACCTGGCAGCCCGCGCTTTAGGGAATGAGGTCGATGTACAGAATGTTCTCATCAACAATATTGCCAAAAAGGTAAGTCTTATCACTAAACCCTATTCATGTTTTGTGTTGATGCTAAAATCCTATCCTTCAGAGCGATGCCGTCGACGACGGAGTCAGAATGAACAGAGAGCGTCTGAACCGCATCAAGTAGATGGTCGGGAGCCGATTCCACCAAATATCCATTCGTGAAAATGTCCACAAAGAACATGAAAGAAGAGCTTGGTCGGTAATCAAATGTTCTCCAGCTTGTAAACTTCATAGGCCGGGGTTTCGTAAGGGTGTGCGCTACAGAGAGCATATTGTCAATCGAAAGCAAGAAGAACTTTGAAGTTTAAACTTGATACCTTTTGAGAGCTGCCACAGCGGCTTTGGCAACATTTCTGTCAGAGCATAGGATTTCCACTCGGTATTCCAAGACTCGCTCAAGTTGGTCCACTGCGCCTGTGTGAGGGTCTGCCCCAGCTGCCGCTACGGGCCTGAATTGGCCTTGGCCGGTAAGTTCGAAGGCCACTTGAACATACTTGCCCTGGTCATAGACACCGGCACCCGTTTCGAAGATGGCGTCTTTGGTAGCGACCAAGTGGGAAGCTGTTGGAATGCCAGAGGAAGTTAGCATGCTTTGGTTTCTGTTCGATAATATCAAGCAGAGCGAACCTGGCACGGTGTAAATAAGCTTGTAGCGGTCCGTCATTGTTTGACTGAAGATCGTATGTCGACAAGAGAATGTCGTCAAGCCTCACTATATGAAAAGGCGCGAGCAACCAAACGACTTGTATCGGTACGGGTGAGGGGAAACGCTTGAGAGCGAACAAAGTGACGCAATTTGCAATTGGAACACAGTATTTTCGAGGCTGGGCGTCTGACCAACATGATGCACACGGGCAAAGTCAGTCACAATTTGGAGACCTGGTGGGAGTATTAATTTCGCAAGTTGAGAATCAACTACAGGCTACCATCACTTATGTATTTAACAGATTTCTATCAATTTTCTCATTTCAACTATCCTATTCAAGAAGAGGCTCTGGAGGAGACGTTGCGGCCATTGCGATGAGACGGTCAGGTACCTACCTCTGTGCATATCCCAGGTGCCCTGTGTAAATCTGGGGTAGATACTCAAACAGAAACTCACCTGGTGCGAACCCAAACCCAGCGGTCTCCCCATAAATTTCTTCCTCTTTCCTCCCGTCAATTTCTCACTTATCCGCTGACTACACATCACATCGCAAACTCTGTTAGCAACCTCAACATGTCCTCTGTACTGGACGCTGAACACGCCCCCAAAAAGCGGAAGCTTAATGGCAAAAATACGATCAAGGTTGGCAACAAAGTAATCTCTCTCGAGGGATATCTCAACCCCCCAGCAAAGAAAAAAGAAGCAGAAGTTCAGCCACGTCCAACGGAAGAGCTGCGGTCTGTTCAGGATACAGAAAATGATGCCACGTCGGACGCATTAGTCAAAGATTCAAAAATTTCGCACCAAACAGCTCCGACCTTCATCAAGCATTCGTCGAAAACATCCCAGGATCGAGACAGGTCAAAATTTGACAAAAGAGGCCCAAGATGGAGAGAAGACCCTGCCTTGTTGAAGATCAGGCAAAAGTTACCCATCTGGGCACACCGAGAGGAGATACAAACTCGCGTACGCCAAAATGATGTACTCCTTCTCGTTGGTGAAACTGGTTCCGGAAAAAGTACTCAAATACCTCAGTTCTTGGTCAGGGAGCCGTGGTGTAGGAGACAAATTGTCAGTATCGCAGGGACAAGAGAAGTCAGTGTCGGTGGCATGATCGCAGTCACACAACCACGTCGAGTCGCCGCCACGACTTTAGCGCATCGAGTTTCTCGCGAGGCTGGGACGCCTCTCGGTGAGAGCCGTGACGGACTAGTTGGATACTCAGTGCGTTTTGATCACCAGGTCCCCAAGGGCACGAAGATCAAGTTCCTCACCGAAGGTATGCTTCTTCAGGAGCTTCTGAGAGATCCAGATTTGAAACAATACAGCGCCGTTATCGTTGACGAAATCCACGAGAGAAGTGTTGACGTGGATCTGGTGTCCGGATTCCTTAAGCAAATCCTGCTTAGTAGCAGGAAGGGCCGTGGCGGCATACCACTGAAGGTTGTTGTCATGAGTGCCACAGCGGATATTGAGCGGATTCAAAGTTTCTTCTCTACGAACAGTCCCGAAGAAAAAAGCGGCGGTGACGACTTGATCAACAAGACAAGCAACTCTGTGGGAGTACTGAAGATCCAGGGCCGGCAGTACCCGGTCAAGACGATACATACTCCCCAACCAGTGCCGGATATCCAGGAATCCCTGTTGAAAACGATTTTCAAAATCCATTTGGAAGAGCCGCTCCCTGGCGATATTCTTGCTTTTCTGACCGGACAGGAGGAAATCGAATCCGCTCAGTCACTGCTCGAGGAATACGCCGCAACGCTGGCCTCCAATGTTCCCAAAATCAAGGTTCTACCCTTGTATGGTCAGCTTTCAATGGAAGGACAACATGCAGCTTTCCAGCCTGTTAAGGGAGGTTTCACGAGGAAAATCGTGCTGGCTACGAATATTGCTGAGACGTCCGTGACTGTACCTGGTGTACGTTACGTGGTGGACGGCGGCAAGGCCAAGGTCAAGCAATTCCGCGCTCGCCTCGGCATGGAATCATTACTAGCAAAACCTATCTCCAGATCTTCCGCCATCCAGCGAACAGGCCGTGCTGGTCGTGAAGGCCCTGGCAAGTGCTTCAGGCTATACACTGAAGGCACATTCAGCACACTCGAGGAAACAGACTTGCCAGAGATCCTGAGGATCGATGTTCTGGGAGCTGTCTTGACGATGAAAGCACGAGGCATTGATGACATTCTCGGGTTTCCCCTTATGGACACCCCGGATGTGGAAGCCATCGAACGAGCACTAATCAGCCTTCATGGACTAGGTGCTTTGGCAGACGACGGCACAATCACTGAGGCCGGCCGCAAGATGGCCGGATTTCCCATCTCTGCGGCGTTTGGTGCGGTCTTGCTTGCCTCCGCCAAGCCAGAATTCGACTGCGTCCTAGAGACGATAGACGTCATCTCCTGCATCACGTCTGGCGACGACATCTTCCATCAGCTGCAGTCGGAAGAACAACGCGAAGAAATTGAAGAACTTCGCAAGGAGCTCTACCGCCGGGAAGGCGATATCCTAACATATCTTACCACAATGCAACAATACGCCGCCGAGAACGCCGATCGCATACAGTGGTGCAAGCAGAGAAAGGTCAATATTCGCAACATGAAGACAGCGCTCAACATCCGCAGACAACTACGCAGCCTCTGTCTCAAAGAAGGCCTTCTTACAGAGGCTCCGCCGCCAGACCCCCAGCCCTTTACTCCTCTGGCTCCGGAGCAGGCCGAAGCTTTGCTTAAGTGCTTCCTTCGTGGCTTCGTGTCCAAGACAGCTATACTGGCGCCGGATGCGAGCTACGTCACGTCACAAGGCAAGCACGTTGTTGCCATTCACCCGTCCAGTGTGCTACACGGACAGAAGAAAGAGGCTATCATGTTCCTTGAGCATGTCTTCACGCAGAAAAACTATGCTAAGAAAGTAAGCATCGTTCAAGCCGACTGGATTGTCGAGGCGTTTGAGGGACACTGAGGGACACTGAAAGACGACGATGACGATGCGCAAGGCCTGACTTCTTGGTTCTTGTCTATAATTACACACAAGGGGCAGCCTGCCATACGTTGTAGAGACTCCGCACCGATCAAGCATTTTCTCTCTTCGACGTTTAGATTTACATAGTTGTTAATACAAACGCGCACAAGTCGCGGACGTCGCATTATTGACTTGGATGGTACTTCATTGAGGCAATGATATCATGATTGATCCTCGCCCTCTCCTGACTCACGCCGTTCTTTGATCGCCTGCATCAGCTCATAAAGCTGGCCGATTTGTTCGTCTGACAGGGAAACGACTCGTCAGCCATTGTGACAGTTACCAATGAAGGGGAACTCACCACTCATCTTGGCAACCTTAACGGGGTCAATCTTCTCGCCAACCCACGAGTTGCCCTCAATCTTTTGCGCGTATAATTGCCATTCGGTCAAGAAACCGATCTAGCACGTTTCGAAGGAATTATTAGTAAGTTCTCTCGGGTAAAGAATGATTCCCCTAATCATGCCATCACCAAAGCAGAGGACATACCAGGTGCGCCGGGTTATCTACTGTGCGATGAGCACGAAACTCGGCCTTGATGTACTCATCACCCAGCACCCGCATCTCGGAAGGAAGATGCTTGCGGTGTGCGCGCAGAAGACGACGGTAAAGCGGAATAGGGGGCAAGAGGGCCATCGGCGTTGGCCTCAGGCCATTGCCCTTTGAGACGGAGGCCGAGGCCATCCTCAGGATTGAAGCAGATCGCATAATGCCGTGTTGGCGGTGATGAAGTTTCGGGTCGGAGGCTGCGACAATTGAGTGAATAGGAAAGCGCGAAGTCGATCAAATTTAAGACACTAGATCTCGAGTGCGATCATGAGCCTTCGGGCCAATGGTAAATGGTCACCGCGATGCTAGTTGTTCGAGATAATAGTGAGTAGTGTTTAGGGATTTCGTCATGTGAATCGCCATTTTCCCCTGCAATGTCACTGAGATGATCCATACAGTGCCCGATAGAGCATTGTACACTGTACAGTAGACAACTGCATCTTGCATGTGTATGCCTCCCTGCGGGTCTCTGCGTACACTCGCACTGACTGTGCCTTGTGAGGCTGTTGAAGAAGGGGCTATTCCATAACAGCGAGATCTCAATTTTATGATTTGAAAAGCGATTGTTATCCAAAGAGTGACCTTTCTTCTCTTGGAATGTCATTAGTTATGCTGTATCATTACCTTCTGCCCGTTAAGTGGCACAGAGGCGCAGCAAGACGCAAAATGGGCACCGACTTAACCTGCTATGCGGCAGTCTGAATCAAGGTCGTGATACACAAATCGCCTTGGATGATCGCGCACCTTCGTTGGATCATATTGTGGGATATTTCCCTCAATTTGACGAAAGTATTTTACAGACGATTCTCACAGAGACGCCACTACCAATGTAGCACCCCGCCTCGGAATTTATCGATTAAAGTCTACGCCCTTGGTTTCGTGCAACCCTCTCTCGCCAGAGAAGCAAACTTTTGGCGGCAATCTCCTTGAGTACAGGCGTGTCGAATTCCAACTCCAACTTGACAGAATAAAATCTCCATCCACTTGGACGCATGATTCCACCAGCCTGAAAGTCCTCCAGCCCGAGAACAGCACCATCATCCTTTAATCTCTTTAACACTTTCGTCGTCCTCATTATAAGAGGATGGTGCTTGTCAAGATTACCCACCCAACTTTCGAGGCATTCCTCCCAAAGCCGAGTGGCCTCCTCCGTCTCACCGCGCCGGGCCAAAACGCCCGCCAGCTGATCCATTGTTGCCAGCGTATCAAGATGCGTCCTCCAAAGAACCCTTTCGCTGACCTCTAGAACCTCGCGTAAGATTTCCTCGGCCTCCTTAAGACGGTTCAAATTTGCACAGCCCGTGGCGACGTTTCGCTTCGACTGCAGGGTGATTGGGTTCTCTTTGCCTCTGAGGCGTTCTTCATTGCTCAGAAAATGACACCAGAGTTGGTGCGCTTCCTCATGCATCCCCCATTCCGAATGCAATGCTGCAAGATTGTTCATTGAGGTCATCATGTTGCGGTGACCCGGTTCGATTTTGTCGTCGTGGATGCAGTGTTCGTAAACTTCCATCTCCAGGGCGACAGCCGTCTCCGTATCGCCTTCCATTCGTAGGATAGTTGCTAATGATGCCAAGCCGCGGTGGTACCATTTAGATGTCCACCCCTGTGGCTTTGCTATTTTCATAATGGTTTCTAGCAACATCTTGGCTTGCAAGTATCCTGCTTGAACAATAAGCAACTCTAGCCAGTCGAATTGGATGTTTAAATTGTGCCTGATGACTTTGGTTTTGTCAGGGCATTCCGGAAGCAGTTTTAAGATCAAGCCGAAAATTCTGTCGGACTCTCGTAGCCTGCTAGAGTGGCGATACACTTTAGCCAGATCCCACAATGCCGCTATGTTTGCCCAGTCCTTGCAATCCAATTTTTCTTGCCTGTCGGCAACGATCTGCTCCAGGACTGCGGTGGCCTTGTCCCAAAGTCCCAGGTACGCAAGTGTTTGGGCGAATTTGCCTTCTTGCTCCGTTCGTCTCATCCATTCGATATCCTCCGAGCCTCCTTGGTCGAGACATGCCTGCATATGTGTCAGCACCTGGCTGGCAAAGAGCTCTTCGATGAGGCGATTGTTTCTCCCGACGGAAAAGAAGAGTATCTCGCGGGCTGCTCTACGTTGGAAGACCAGCATTTCTGGCTTCATTCGGTCTCTAGCCCAAGAGTGCACCAAAACATGCATAGAGTACGACTCATCGTACAGGAGAGAGTTCTTGATCAAAGAGTAACTCCTCAACATCGCAATCCCGTCATTGAAATTTGTCGAATCCCAGTCACCTTCTTCTGTGAGGTCGAGCAATGGAAGCGGCGCGATGCTTCCCTCTTCACCGCTTATGAAAGTCGTCTCCATCTGTTTATTGGTGGCTGCTCTACTGAGGATATACGTCGTTATGTTCTCATTGTGGTAGAAGCAGAAGATGTTGAGGATGCGAAGAGCATTCAGAGCAGCCTGGCCCTTCCGACCTTTTCCCACTGACTGCATTTTCAATGCATCATAGGAAAGCTCGAATGTACCGTAGACAGCTGGGTTGTGCTCGAACACTCCTGGGTACAGAGGCGGGTCCCCTAGTATGTCTTTTCGGCGTCTCTGGAAGTTGTTGAGGTAGTCTTTGAATGAGCACTCTTGAATATAAACGAAAGAACCGGCCTGATCGATGGCCAAGGGGAGATATCCAAGCTCGTGAACGATTGCCTTCCCGTACTTCTCGTCATCATCATCTTCTGACTTTGCCTGTTGCCTTTGCGACGCGCGGAGGAATAGTGTGACTGCATCTTCTGCATCCATGATGTCGACAGGGATTGTTTGGTTGGCGTCCAGGATAGGTGACATGTCTTTCCGTCTGCTGGTGAAAAGGATATTCCCAGTGTTTCCCGGAGGGAGATAATTGCTCACGTCGATTGTGTCGTTGTTGTCGAAGACAAGAAGCCACTCTTCAGTTTGATTTTGCGCCAACCAATTCTGGACTCTCTTGATGTTAGGCTTGCCAGCTTCTTCGTCGAAAATCTCAGCTGTTAACAATCTGAAGCTCTCAAAGATAGAATCTTTCGTGGCGGCGTTAATCCAAAACACCCGATCAAATCTGAAATACGCGGACTTAGTAAGAAAACTATGGGTTGAGATGAACGTCGTGCCACCTACCTTGACCCATACAAGTCTCTAAATTTGAGGGCAATTTGCGTCTTCCCAATTCCACCCATACCCCAAATTCGGAGGTGTCTTCTAGGCGACGATCCGGAAGGGCGTTCGTAAAAGTGTCGTTCCATCTTGTTGAGTATGTCTAATCTGCCAGTGAATTGCGGGCTTGCAATACTGTTGATCTGAACCTCTTGCTGAAGGGCTTGCTTCGAGGCTGCGTCAGAAACTGCATGACCTACTGCGAGTCAGTCACTTAGCAGAGTAGCTTGGTGAGGATACTTACATGCGGCATCAAGAGATAGGTCGACGCCCTCCTTCTTGTGCAACATGCTGACGATCTTGTCGATGTTGGTAGAGACTTCAATGTCCTGTAAGTACCTCTCCGTTGCCGCCCGCAACAACCCCATTTTCTTATATTCATTCAGCTTGATATCTGCAGCACCCCGGTCCAAATTCAACCGCCAATATGCGTAGTGTGTTTTCTGGAACCGTTGCTCTAGGGCTTGGTGCTCAGGCTCGGAATCAGTCAGCGATGCTTTGGCATGCTTGAGAATCTTTATCGTGCCTCTTGAGAAGAGTGCGCCGCTGCCTTGCCTGGCCACGACTGGACGATCTACAAGCTACCCTCGAGGGACTACATTGACTTTTTTATCGGAGACTTTCAGTCCGGTGCCCAAGCTGAGAAGAAAGCCCAACGTCCTCCTCGGACCGAAGTAGGACTCGGCTTCACTCAACACAAGGCGAGCCGGGTTGTTGCAGGTCACGGCACCGTCGACGTACTGGTCCCTCTCCGCCTCGACTTCGATGGAGATTGGGTGGAAAAATGTCGGTGCCGCTGATGTTGCCCTTGCCGCCTCCCAAATTTCCACATTGTGAGCGCAGTTGCTGCTCCCTTTGTACGTTCGGAAGAGGTAGGCTTCGTAGGCGTCATATGTGGCTGCGCAGACAAAAGCGAGCCCCCTTTCCCTCGTGTCGTCGAGCATCGTGGTCTTTGCGAGCTTCTTCTTGGTTACATTGCCTTGTATGATCTTGACGAGTGTTTCCTCTTTATAAGTTCTGTTCCACCACCGCCTGCGGTTCTTCTTTCGAAAAACGTCCTTTGCAAAACTTTCGTATGCGTTGATGGCTTCCTCAGTCGACATACCCATGCGACCTAACATGATGGCAATTAGTCTCTCCAACGATCTGCTGTTAGCGGAACTTTGCAACACGGTGTATTGGAAAGACCAACTAACCCCCCAGTACTTGTGCCACCCATCAAATGGAAATAGTCCTGAGGCTTGGGTAATTCTCTGAGTCCTGCCACCTTCTGTAGCCGCTTCATAATCTCGTGTAGTATGACGAGTTCTGATATCCCTCTGATGCCTCCACCGTCTGCCTTGTGTTAGATAAGGCCTCCCAAATGGCCAAGGAGCAACATACCCAACGACAAAAGATAGATTGGCTCATCTTGGCTCATCTTGCGACGATCTAGAACAAAAACCCAAGCAGTGTACGATCAAGAGTGAAACAACGAAGTCCATATAAGAAATTGTGAATAGGTTCATAAGGATAGCGATTCCCGGCTTTCGAGCCAGGCAAATGCAAAACTTGCGCATTCAACAGGGAACCAAGGTGAGGGACAGTGGCACTTCTTCAATGAATCCGCCCAACCAACATCTGGGCAGTGCAGATACTTGCCCGAAGATCAAGCCCACGAGAGGGGCCTTCTTTGGAATCCGCCCCGATGCACTATGCATGCTAAGCGCCTAGCACTCGCCAGGATATGGAGCAGACACGCGCCGCATACACACCAATAGGCCTGCGAACTCTCATCCTGGCTGCCAACACCAACTTTCCGACATGCATATTTCATCGGCTGACCCCTACTGCAGTTAACTTGTCTAGGTAAAGTTGTAACCAGACGCAGCAAACCTGAGAAACTGTGGCAACCCGATGGAGTGGTCAAATGTGCGCCTCAGTTGGCAGGCTTCATAGCGACTGTTACATTCGCGCAGCAATTGTCAGTCTGCCCTCCTGCAGACCCTGGTTGAAACGGAGGGGCGCAGCATGTTCCCAACATACGTGACCGAAGGCAGAACGAGATGGACTACGAACGAGATCCAGGAAGCAAGTGTTGATGCTGCTTGACAATCTCATTGAGAAGGCATTCGTGAGAAGCGCCACAAAATCGAGAAATGGGGTGAAAGATATGTAATCAGATATCTGTAGGAGTCAGAAGACAAGAGAAAGATGAGACTCGGAATTGGTTGGTGCATGATTCTAAGCGCCGGCCTTATGGAGCGGGTCGGGCCACTAAACGGGGTGGCGCTATGATGATCGACTTGAACCAACAAACTTAAGTACCAACCTACCATTTCTCATGCAGAACCACCAATCCGGCTGAAACTTTACTATCCAGGTAGTCGAGAAAGCCTTGTAAAAGTACTGTACATGAACTGGGAGGTTTGGACTATGTAAAAGGCTAAGCTGGTTGCTCTTCGGCTCACCGTTTCGCCGATTTTGTCTTAATGTCGATATTCGTCATTGAGGGATAGGTTCGGAGGCTATAGTCAACCAGTCGAGATTTAATGGAGTCCAGTTTCCATGAAAGAAGGACACTAGAGTCCACAAAGTCACTCATGCCACTAAGTCTGGCGGAACCGATAATACCAGCCGAGACTATTCCTCGATTTCAACTCACACTAGACAACTCGCGCGTCTACACTAAATTTTGTCCAGGAACCCCGACGGGTGAGGATGCAGTCCTTAAATTACCCTTCAGGAGGAGGAAAATGTGAGCATGCCTCGAAGAAACCGGTTGAAGAGCTGCATATATACGCCTTCAGAGTCTGAGATCCAGTCTCCATCAACTTCCTTCGGTATAACACTGACATAATGGATAGATGTCTCTGTTGCAAAATAGACTATCGCCCTTTTGATGATACTCTTTCTCCAAAGCCAAAGACTCTACTCCCCAGCATCTCAGCCGCAAGGCTTCGAGATGACGGAGTTGTCAATAGTCGATATCAAAACATCAAATTCACTCGAAGCCATACTAGTTACTCGGCTCAAGTATAATGCCGTATCAGAGCGTAACTCGTTCAGCAATAGTCTTGAATCACTTGCCTTCATTCTACGTGCATCATTCCATTATCTCCAGCCAGATAAATTTCCAGTTGCAAGGCAAGCCACTGGAGGCTCATGGACTAGTATTACCACCCTCTCGATGATACTCGTTCTTTGAGGTGGAGACCACGTTCCATTTCCATCAAGCCAAGTATCAACTGCTTCGTCTAAGCAATTTCAACTCAACCTTCAAGTTACATGCCCTGGAACCAACAGGCATTCATATTACCTATTTGGGCCGGTACAAGCCATATCTCACATTAAGACAACACCAGCGCAATCAAGAGTTCCTCCCAACGACCCAAAACAGCGCCATTACCAATTATCCGGTCGAGCCCTCGCATCTCCCGCAGAAACTCCGCATGACCAGGCATCACACAGCTGGACCAGGGGAAAACTGGTAAGTTGGTTCACGGGGCCACCCAGCAACGTAACCAACACTCGGGTGCACCGCGCCAAGTCGCCTGGACACAACCACTCAGTGGCTCAGCATCCGAGACATTGGAAGGCTCCCGCAGGCCGCGGCTCCTTCGACTTAAGGAGGGAAAAAAACAGGGCTCTCACTTGACGACTCGAGGCCCAGGCAACAAGGTTGGGTCAACAGGGAAAAGCAATATCGGTGTCATAAAGTTAACGCGTGACTCCTGTCTGTGTAGTGTGTCGCACGCCATTCTGGTATTAGACTCGCTTCAATCGTCAAGCTCCCAAATCGAATTCATCATCAGTCATGCCTAGAACTAGACCCTTCCCAGAAATCAACGCCTGCAAACCACCCAGAAAGTGATGCCACTGAGCACAAGATCCAGCCGTCTATCCCTGTCTATGTACAAGGCAATGTTGGTCCCCGCGGCCCCCAACGCCATATTCAGGAAGGCGGCGCTCCAGCCTTGAGCATCGCCGTGAACCCATTGCCCAAGTATGCGAATCGGTTCTGCTTGGCATTCTCATACGTGTACTCCCAGTCCTCGCCCCTAAATTGCTCAAGCAAGCGGATGAAGTGCATACGGCTCCCGGGATACAGACCTGTCACAGGGCCGTTGACCTCGCCTTGCTTATACCAAGATCTGCACCCGCCCGCAAAGACTGTGCGAGGCATAATGGCTGAGATGTGCTCAAAATAGTCCTCCACGGCCGCCTCAGACGGGGCGATAGTCCGCACGCCTTCTGTCTGGCATTTGAGGATAGTATTGGCGATGTAAGTGGCAATGTGCTCGCTAAGCGTAAAGACATCACCCTGCACAACAGGCGCATTGGGCCCCAGGAATTCTACAGCAATCAGGATGGTTAGCTTCGAAGCGGTAAGCGCAAGGGAATCCCGACTTACTGAAGAAGTTTGGCAGACCTGCAACAGCAAGGGACATGTATGCTTTAGGAGTTTGCTCGGACCAGACGTCCTGCAAGTTGCCGTGTCGACCGACTAACGGGAACGAGGGGAGAAACGATGAGTCGAAGCCAGTGGCACAGACGACAACGTCAACTTCGAGGATCTCCCCAGTGGCCAGTTCTATGCCTTGCGGCACAAACCTCTTGATGGCGTCGGTGTGAAGGGAGACCCGGGGATCGTGGAACGATTCGAGATATCCAGGGGCGGGAGTGAGTCGCTTACACCCGAGGGGAAAGTCGGGTATCAGCTGCTTGCAGAGCTTCTCATTTCCCTTGAGCATCGCCGTCATGAATTCCTTAGTCTTTCCCAGCGCCCAAGCCTGTTGAGGACTTCCCGCAATGAGAGAGATGGCGAACTTGATGTTGGAGTCCATCTCGAGAGTCTTTGTAAATTTGTTGTAGAAGGCCGGGTCATTTTTGAACTTTTCAATCGTCGCCGCTGAGAATCGCTCGTTCTCGTCCATCTCAATTTGATCGAGGAGAGCTGCTGAAGGCCCCATCTTCATTGTGGCAACTCGAGGAGGGATGATCAAGGTGGGTGTCCGGATGATGTGGTGTAGCTTCTTCACATCTGCTTGCTATGAGCTGGCTGCGTCGCCATGATAGAGATGGTATATACTCACGTGGTCTCATTGCTGGGATGATCTGAACGCCGGACGCACCATTCCCAATGACTGCTACCGTCTTGTTTGTATAGTCAAAGTTCTTAGGCCAGTTTGCGCTGTGAATTAAGGTCCCCTCGAAAAGCGCGATGTCTTCCACGTCCGGGAATCTCCATTTACTAGGCAAGTCAGACATTGATATAATACACAACTCCAATGGAAATGTACGTACTTCAAGATACCACTTGCGTCAATGAAATAGTTGGCATAATCTTCAAAGACGGTGCCAGTCCCCAAGTTCTTAATCTGCAACTCCCACACGGCCTTGGACTCCGACCAAGCCGCCCCGATGATCTGATGCGAAGTCTTGATAAAAGGCCGCAGCTTCTCGTCGTCACATATTTGGCAAAGGTACTCCTCAATCTCTGCCGCGGGGGCAAAAAAGCTCGACCAGGCCGGATTCGGTCTCCAGCTGAACTGGTAGTTGTGGCTAGGCACGTCGCACTTGCACCCGGGGTACCGGTTCTCGAACCAGGTACCCCCGACATTCTCGTTCTTCTCATAGACCACAAGCTCGTACGTCGAGGGACCGAGGGTGTTTCTCAGGGTGCGTATCAGGTTGATGCCGCTTGCACCGGCGCCGATCCCGACAATGCGAATGGGTTGCGGAGTCCCGAACGGCGCTTCCTTCACAGTGTAGGTGGTATTGGTGCGAATAGGTTGACTGGATCCGCTACCCTGGGCGTCGACATGACGAGATAGTTGAGGGAGTTGCCGTGTCATTGTGAAAATTGCTGGTTTGCGTGCCTGTAGAGCTACCTAGGCAGAGAATAGAGAGGAAGAAGAGACCGGTTTATATCTGAGTTGAAGTTGCCAAGGGGTGTTGAGTCCCGAGGAAGGCGCCAGCGAGTGGCTGCAAGGAATCTCTTTCCGAACAAGCGCCTTTCTCCTGCTCGCTTGGTGGAGATACGGGTTAAAGAGAGGATGCGGGCGGGTGACTGTGGACTTTTGGCAAGTGTAGCGCGCGGCGGCCTGTCACGGAGACTAGCCAATAATTGCAAAGGAGCCTTTACCATGGTAGAATGGGATGAGACAAACCGGAAAGCGCCAGAGAGGAAGAAGCAACGAGTGAATCCGCTGGAGCGGGATCCAAAAGACGTTGTCCTTGTCAGTGACAGGCAGCATAGTCCGAGGTGAAATCTACCATGCCTCCGCGACTAACACCAAAAAGCGCACCACCTTAGTGTGGAAACTACGAGCTGACGCAGCACAGCTTTCTTGTCAAGAGGCATACCTACATAGACTTTGACGATGAAAAGGAGACAGCTCACATGAAACAAAACGGTGGACTCTACGGACAGAGAGGCGCCAATGGGCATGGGTCCTCTCAATTGGGGATTCTGTCGTAGGAGCCTAGGAGGGGTCTGCACCGGGCCTCATTGTTGGTTGATTTACGACGGGCAGTTTATCAATCTTGGCTGGTGCAACGGCACATGGTGTGGCTGCACGTATCCAAATGACTTTGGAACAAGGCTGGTCCATGGGCAGAAGAATTGAACAAAATGGGTTGTCTGCACGTCTGCTAGCTCGTTGCGGTCAAGCAAGGTCCGATTAGCAAGAAAAGGGTCCTGGGCTGGACCAGGTCGTAAACCATCCAACCACGGCGGGAGGAGGAGAGAACCGGGCTGAGGGGTGTTCATGGCATGGATCTAAGTACGGTGAGTGGCGAATCACGACTCTTGCCGCACTGGAGGATGGAGGCTTGGAGCCGGAGCGGGATCGTGGTGAGTGCCGCGGACGGGGGGCGATATGGAGCGCAAACCGGGGCGTATCTACGGATGGAGAAGATGCCATTGTAGGGGTCTGACCCCGGCCGTTTCCTGGAGGCAAAAGACAATGCGGTCCTGAAATTGGGGATGCTTTGGCTGCCGACCGTTCTATCAGCTTCATTATTTCCTTGACGACATCTTAGCTGACGAAGAACCGAAGAAAGGGGATGTGTGATGCCCTGATTAGAGTGGATCGCCGAGAGAGGGAATCGCGAGTGCCGGGTCCATTGTCGATCGGCCGTGAGCATGTTCGGCGCCGCATGGTAGAGATGGTGGGATGACGGGAGGGGGCGGCATCCTCGCGCGTTTGCTGACCACTGAGACACGAGATCTCATTTGAAGGAGCACAAAGCTCGAGATGCACCAGATCCTCCGGGCCTTTAGGATGCAGAGATGCGTGTCTGTCTGGCAGGCATCTGCAGCTGAGCCCATGAACCACTGCGGCCACGGCTTGCAGGTTCGTCATGTGCCATGAACGGCCGCTGGCTCTTCAGCTTGCGTCTTTTTTTTTTTTTTTTTTTTTTTTTCCATTTTCAAATCTACCTTACGTGAAGAGCAAGCGCTGAGGGTAGAGCAGAGCATGCGCGAGAGATGCGGTCAGAGACGTGGGAGGAATAGGCTCAGCTGCGGATCATTTTCCCGAACGCCGCTCAGCCTATTAAAGTTGCAGCTTTCCACACTCGCCCTCGCCCTCGCCTTCGCAGAAGCCAGCAGGGCATGGGTGTTGGGCTGGTAAGCACGAGATCCGAAGGCCGAAGGGGAGGCTCCGTGGCTCTGTACAGGTACATAGATATGAGACAATCGCCCAATTGTGATGCCTCCTCCCTAGTCGCCGCACTGCATGAGCCTCTCTGAGAAGTTGCTGGTTATTGGTCTCTTTGCGACCAAGCAAGTGCCCAAACATGCGGCGGGCGGCGTTGGTGCAGAATTAGAAGAGTCTTCGAATGATAAAGCGCCGATAGGGAAGAACTTCTGGCAAACAAAAAGCAAGCATCCCCAGTCTTGGCCACCGATGACGATTGGCTTGGTGGTCGACTCGGCCAATTTGTAGCTGGCAACTCTCTGGGTGCCTTGGATATGCGAGCAACAGGAAGACGTTTTGCTAAGGCCGAGATTTGCTGGTGGCGACGGCTTGAACCCAACCTTGTGCGTTGTGAGTCCAATCTAAGCAGTTGACTTCCTGACTATACCAACTCATGCTACTGACAGGCACCAGCATCGCAAACTTGATTCAAGCTTAATCGACTCACTGCCTCAGAAGACTTCTCACATCTGCAAGCCACCAAGTCATTCGAGTGGCGTAAGAGCTCTGTTGTCGTTGGTTTTCCGATTCGACAAACACACCCGATAAGGTAGCTTGCCTCGGTGAGGTTCCAATAAGAGACTGCGTTTCGTTTTGTGTTTGTGTGTGTGACTCTGTGAGTGAACCCGCGCCCCCACATTTTCATAGTCTCTTTCGTGCGTACTCAACTCACTCATCTTTTGCAGAAAGGTACGTACAAAAACCCTGCAAATCCACGCGGCGTCTCCCACCCTCGAAGAGAAATATGGCATCATTCTCCTTCGGATTCGGCGGCGATGACATAGAGGACGACTCCGTTCCCGTCCCGGCCGCCGAGGCCTCCGCGCCCGCCCCGGAGCCCGAGACCCCGCAGTCCGCTGCAACAGCCAGCGCCTTTCCGGTGCCCGGCAAACCCCAGCTGCCGCCCACCGCCCACGACCTGCAGGACATGCTCTCCAGGCTGCCCTCAAAGGTCGCCTTCGGGACCCTGGACGTCACCCTGGACGACGGTAGCCTCATCAAGATCCCTCGTCGCGAGCTCTGGGACGTGCGAGTGCAGCTCATGGCCGAGGATGAGGCCGCCGGTGACGGTGCCGATGCCGAAGGCCTCGGCAGCCACGATGTCAAGACGGGCGTCTACGAGGGCGGTTTCAAGAGCTGGGAGAGCAGCGTGGACCTCGTCAAGGTTCTCGCCAGTGGCCAATACTTGGACCTGCTCAAGCAACGGCCTCTCCGAGTGATCGAGGTACGAGCATCTGAACACCTGACGCGCGTTCTTATTCTTATTTTTATTTTTCATGTCCTGCTGGCTCAAGTGGCGAACCGAAAGCTAACCGACCTATCCGCAGCTTGGATGCGGCACAGGGCTTCCATCGCTCGCTCTTTTGCAATGGACCATGAGGAATCCAGCGCCGAGATCGCCACTTTTGCTGACCCTGGCCGACTACAACCCGACAGTCTTGCAACTGGTCACGTTGCCCAACTTTATCCTCGCCTGGGCTCTGGAACGCAGGGACCAGAACCCCGCCCTGGAGGAGGCCTTCGCGATGGGAGACGAGCTCGAACTCACATCAGAGGTCTTGCAGCAATTCAAGGAGTTCCTGACGTCTTCCCAAATCTCTCTCAATTTCATTTCTGGTGGCTGGTCAGAGGAGCTTGTTGATCTTCTCTATGAGTCTCAGTCCAAGCTGGACGGGTCCAGCAGTTTCGATACCCTTCTTATTGGAGCGGAAACCATCTACTCGCCCTTCGCACTTGATGCTTTCAACGAGATGGTCCTTGCCATCCTCAATAGAGAACAGAGCCAACGTAGCAACTGCCAGTCGCAGGCGCTGGTTGGGGCGAAGCGGCTTTACTTTGGCGTTGGAGGTTCACTCGATGATTTTGTGGATAAGGCTAGGGGAAGAGGAGCAACGGTAACTCAAGTCAGGGAGGAGGCTGAGGGTGTTCGGCGAGGTGTCGTTCGATGCACTCTGGGCTCGCCTCGTGAATAGACAACATGCCAGTCAAAACTACATACCACATGGAGAGGAGGCCTCTCTTCTGAGTTTGCCACCGCCACGGCCATTCATGCCATTCATCCCGGTCTATGGTGTCGACTGATAGACCGGCGCAACAGCATATATGCATACATATCGGTCAATGGCCATGAGTTCGCGAGTGTTGTCTTCTGCTGAGGCAAAGGAGGCTTTGCGGTGATGTAAGATAACAACCAGTCACATGGATGTGGGTTTGTGAGCCTTTTGGAACACAAGACACTATGACGATCCAGCTCGCGGCATGGTTTTCAACATTCAAGGGCCTGTGAATTCTCATGGAAGACTGTTCCTTCGGTCAAGTTACGAGACTGACGGCTTGGTGAGCGTTTTCAGCGAACGAGACGTATCGCGTCTATTGATTGACGCACGCGGCTGTGGCGCTGCAGAACATCCATCGCCCCAGTCTGAATTTGATGTTTTGACCGAGCTATGAGCTGAAACGGCATGATTGTATTGAACTGAACTGATGGCTGCTAGGCCGGCATTCCCACCATCGCCGTCAGAAAGTTCTACTTACGTCATCTGAGTCAAGCCGAGGAAAACTCCGTGGTTCTGGTGCCCTTCCATTCCAGTCGAGTATCAGAGTGAAACGCCCCCTGAACGAGCAGGCTTGTTCCATTTCAGCCAAGAACCAAGCATGGCATGGCCATGAAGTGTCATCGCACGGCTGGTTGAGGATTGAGCTACCTACCTACTGCGAGATCCAAGTACGGAGTAAGTGGCTTGGGTGGATAATATGCAAAGCATGGAGAGAGCCAAGCCTATCACGGAGAGAGCGAGGGTGCGACCCCTGCATGTATTCCTAACGGAGGTTGAGAGGCTGCCGGATCCAGCGAGCTGCCGTATCCGATGGTTTGGGCCGATGGCTCTGTGGGAGCTGCATTTCGTGATAAATAGACAACTTGGAATTGGCAAACTTGCTGACGGGTTCGGACGACATAGCCAGAACCAGGCGATGCCCTGTCGATGCTGCAGGCTTCCCGTCGTCGGGCGTGGAGCCTCTCTGAAGGGCGCATACGCATGGACAGGGTTTCAATGAGAGTCCTGAGCCAGGGCCGTCAGGCGAGAGCTGTTAGTGTCCGAGTCCGTCGATTGGAGGCCAGAAGCAAGGACCATTGCGCAGAATGCAGGTACCGTGCAAGCCGTGAAGTAGCGTACGCTGGGGAGATTTGGCCAATGTCGGTCTCCACAACGGGACCCAACGGGGTGTGCATTGGAAATTGGACTCAGTGGGAACTGGGAACTGAAAACGCCATTGGCATAGGCGAGCGGCGAGCCTGACGTCGTTGCATCTTATTCATCGTTCTGGAGGAGGCTCCCCGGTCACCCGAAAGAGAGCGAGATTGCCGCTTTGGCGCGATGATTTGATGGGATGCAGCGACTCAGCGAGGCGCGTCGACAAATGGGACGGTAATATACGCAATATGTGCATGCTCCTGGCTCCTCCGTGAGACTTTGCACTTTGGACCGATGGGGCGGGATGGCAACTTGCGGCACGGATCAAGCGGGTGAAGGCGCGAGTGAAATCTTTTCCCCAGAGGCCCTCGGTAGATCCTCATCAGGCGATCCGTAGCCTGCCATGACTTCTTCTACACAGTAGGCTGTCCTGGTCGGTATTAGAGGACTGTCCCATTCCAGATTGATGTGCGTCTGACTGTCCTTGCGAAACGGGACGGACACCAGTATTGCTTGATTTCCAGAGTAGTGTCTTGGTGGACCAAAGGAAAAGGAACTTGACACGCTTGAGTATGTCAACGCAGCTCATCTGTTGTCTCGCGCGTCAGTGCTCCCACCCGAACACAACAAGGCGTGGAACGGAACGTACAGGCATGTTACTCTGCAGATGAAGCACAGATCTCGGACGATTGACGACGTAAGTGTCCCAATACATCAAGGCTAGGTGTGTAAGTGCCGATGCTATTTTCGAGTCTTCCAAATGTACAAGCGCAGAGCATTCTGCATAGGTTTTCTCGACGGATATACCACTCGTAAAGGCCACCTTCACGAGCATCAAGCATCCATAGGCGTCGTCACCTCCAATAGTGTGGTGGGGAAGCCTTGAGCTGTCATTGCCTACTCGGATCGATGATGGGATCGCAGGCGGCTCGTGACTGGTCCGCGGAAAGTAAAGTTTTGCCGTGGAGAAATGGAACACGAGCTGGAAGGGAGGGTGGAGGGATGGATGCTGTTGGTTGCGCACGCAATTGCAGGCTGAGCCGGGCGTCAGCGGCAGCAGCAGCAGCAGAAGCATTCGCACATTCCCATGGGGGGCGAAAAGGGCCCTCGCCATGGTTGTCCGCTGCGAATCACTCCAATGCGAAGAAGGGGCTTCGGAGGAGGGCGGCCGTTGGAAATGTGCGAGATGGAGACGTCTACTGCGTACCACTCTCCCTTGCTGCGCCTCCAGAGACCCAGATCGACAGGAACCTTTCCCCATTACCGGACCAGAACGAATGTACCCACCGCTTGTCGGAACGTACAATGAAGGGTAGTGTGACCTGTACTGCGTATGTACCCATCCGATAGTAAGAGAGTCTAAGTACCTTATTATCAAAGAAAGTTAATTCTTTCTAAGTTATAAATATAAGAATATAGTTTTAATAAAATGATATAATACTTACTTAGTACTTAAATTAAAATACTTTTTTAAACTCGTTATAAAAAAAATAATTATATTATTAATTATTTATTATCGAGGTTTGTAATTAGTGCTATAGCTTTAATTATTATAGTTTTAATTATTATAACTTTAATTATAATAGCTTTATTTATAATAAATAAAAAGTCTAATTATAAGTCCTTTAAAAACTTCTTTTTAAGAGCTATAAGAGCTTCTAAATATACTAAGTTAAAATACTTATTAAAATATTAATAACTAAACTAATTTTATAATAATAACCTTAATAAAAAACTTAGTAAATAATATTAAAATCCTTATTAATATTAAGTATAATTTATAAAATATAATAATATAATTATAAAATATTATTAATATATTTTATATTAAAAAAAGTATTATTAATATTAATAAAATAAATAAGGCTATATTAATATAATATTTTAATTTTTTATTATAATTTAAAAATAATTATTTTAAATAGTATTAAAAATTTATTAAAAAGCTTTTTTGAATATTTTAATATATTTATTATTATTTTTATAATAATAAAACTCTTAGTATTTACATATAAAAATAAGTTATTTATTTTTAAACAGTAATATTAGTTTATTAATAAGTTATTAAAACTATAATTTTAGTAATTCCTTAACGAGGGAGAGGGTAGAATAGAGGAAAAGATAGGTAAGAAAAGGGCTGAGGTTAGATAGTGCGGAATTCGAGGGCAGGGTAGCGTCTACATGTACTGCGGCAATCCTCTAGTATAGTGAGAGAGTCAGTGACCGGCCGAGGGGTTTTTGGGGTCTCTTCGCGCCTTGGGCCGTTCAAGCGGGCTCCAACGTGGTGTCACCTGCTGTGGGCTGGAAAGCAGGGAAGCGAGATGGCATGGCATGTGGAAGATTGTGCCATTGCTGGGCGCATTGTTCAAATTGACGCCAGCGACTGCCCTGGGTCCCAGGACAGAGTCCCAGACTCTCAGGCGAGAACCGTCGAGGCCCAGACCTCTTCCAACTTCCCTTCCCTGCTGTTGCCCGAGATGGTCGTGATCCTTCCATCGCCCCAGCCAAGAGGGCCCAATAAGGAGCCTTGGGCGACTCCGGGGACATAAGCTAGGAGTACCAGGGGAGTTGACGGCTGCATCGGGGGTCTGCCCAGTGGTTGCACGTAGTTGAGAAATCGTACATCGCCTTGGAGTAAGCTTGGAGGAAATCTACTTTAGGTACCGTGTAAGAAGACCATACGGTCGTCTTAGAGTTGCTAGCTAGGTACCTGACCTGCCTTAGGTCGAATATAAAGTACCGGACGACGGCGTGCGGATGTATGGTGAATTGAGCAAAGGTAAAACTTGCAGCTAACCTGGAACACCAACACTAGTAAGCTGAAGCTGCTGCACGCAGTCGTGGCATTTTACGGCAGAAGAGGAGGCCACTGGGAGAAGCAGAAAGAAGTCAGGCCGGACATCAGCCAGTACCAAAAACAACCAAAGGACAAGAAACTGAAGCTTGGTCTTTGTTAGCGCTTCTCCTGGGGTTTGCCAGGTTCCTCTCTGCGACAGGGGTACCCTCCAAGAGTTTTCCACGTTAGTCCAATCTGGGAGTTAGTGCCACTCCTGTTGCCAGGGCTGCTGGAAGAGGTGGGAAGGTACCCGCCCCCCGCTCGTCGTCGTCGCTTCCTTTTCTTGTTTGCGACGAATAGCCTGCGACTTCCTCAGCTGCTAAGGTACTCCGTACCATACCACCCTTAAAACGCTTACCACACCAGTGTGAGGACCAAGGTAAGGTACCTACCTGTGGTACTCTACCTTACAAGTAAGGTCAGGTACCTACTCTAAGGTAAGGTAGGTATGTAAGTCCGCGCACCCAGTGGGAGCCGTGATGCCGTCCGCGGCGCCCTCGAGAAGCCTCAAGGTGCGCGCGGTTGCTGTTCGTCCCCGGCTGTTGCTGCGTTGGGTGCTTGTTATGATGTCGCCATGAGGACCTACTTTGGAAGATAGCAAAGAGGAAGGCTCGATCGCGCGCCTGTCTGTTTCAACCTCGATACCTCCTGCCTCCTCTTAAGCTCAAGTGCGCCCATCTTTTCCCACCTGACTCTTCATCCATTCCATCACCATCTCAATCCAAACAAACTTGCCCGGTCCACACTACAAATAAGTTCCTCCAAGGCTCCAACACTCTGCACACAAGAAGAAAACCAAGAATCACAACCACACCACTCCCAGAATTCAAATTGCTGATCTTCTGGTGCTACTTTGTCCCAAAAGCCACCCATCCATCCGCACACCCCCAGCAACAGTAACGCGTGCGAGTAATTATAGGAAAAGCCCCGTCTAGGTATTGATGTAAGTCGCATGCCTGCCTGCCTCTCCGCCGAACCCGCACACGCCCCCCCTTCCATGCTCTACCCCTGATTCGACTTCGCCTAATTTCGCGCCTGCGCGAGACGAGGAAGCCTTTTTCTACCCAGCTGTCCCCCCCTCACATCGTTGCCTGCCTCTCTCCCTTTTGTTTCCTCACGAGCCTATTCCCGACATTCGTTGTTGACCTTTTTTGCTAAATTACAGTAGTCCGATACCTAATACTCCTACACTCGTTCATCACTTAATTTTCGAAAAGCAACCCAATCCGTCACAATGAAGAGCTTCACCTCCGTCCTCGTCGCCGGCTTCGCTGCCATGGCCCAGGCTGTTCAGCTTACCAACACCAACTTCAACGTCCAGGCTGGTCAGGCTTTCGAGATCACCTGGTCTGATGCTTCTGGCCCCGTTACTCTCACCCTGAAGAACGGCCCCAGCACCGACCTCAAGACCGTCTCCACCATCGCCAGTAAGTACATCCCGAGCCCTGGTGAGATGCCATCTGATACTGACTTCTATCTCAGCTGGCCAGAGTGGTACCTCCTTCTCCTGGACTCCTTCCTCCACTCTCCCCACCGACCAGTACGCCATTGAGATCTCTGACTCTACTGGCACTCCCAACTACTCTGAGCAGTTCACCCTGACCACTTCCGTCACTGCTTCCGCTTCTGTCTCCTCGGCTTCTGCCTCCGCCTCCGCCTCTGCTTCCGCCACCGTCACCACCACTGTCGCTGCTTCCACCATCACCTCCTCCGCCTCTGCTTCCTCCGCCTCCGCTGCGAGCAGCTCGGCCTCTTCTGCTGCTAACTCCACTGCTGCCTCCACTGTCTCTACCAGCACCCGCGCCAGCACCCGTACGTCGCCATCTACTTGAGGCATAAGAACCCTGACTAACCCGTTGAATAGGCACCAGCGCTTCCACCTCTTCCACCAGCTCTCCCACCACCGTTCCCGGCAGTGACGCTGTCCGCATGGGCTCTCCCATTGCCCTGATCGGCCTTACCGTCGCTGCCATGCTCTACTTCCAGTAAGCTGGTGGCTAGAGAGGATGTTCGGGCTGTCTCAGCCCAATGACTGGTATATGATGCGAACCAAGGTTTATAATACAGTAATGCGATCCAAGAACGAACAGGACCAGGAGTTGCATTTCAGATGAAGCAAGCGGGTCGAGTTGCAAAAAGCTCTCGAAGGACAGGGGATGATGAAGTAAACATTGTGTGTTAGTCGGGGCCTATCGGAAATCTTTGGGCCTATAAACAATCAATTAGCAACTCAATCCACTGTTGCCTTTCTACATCTTTATTTCTGCTCCCTATGATTGTAATCTATAGCGAGACCTGGGTCATCTCAACCCCGCGTCTGGACATTACCACTTCAGGCTGCATGCATCGCATGACCGTTTGTCCTCGGTGAGGTGACATTTCCGTCTGCACCTCAAAGTGGTGTCACTCGACCTGCGCCTATCCCACTCGGAAGCGGACGTGCTCTGCCTCTGGCATGAGGGGCATGTAACATTATGCATTCGTACTACGAGTTATCGTCACACTGTCAAAGACAAACAACAAAATATCGATCTGGGCCCGTCCACACCAAACTCGTCGTCTTTTCTACCCTTCATCCACAATGTAAGGTAAGGTACGTTTTTTTAAGCACAGTCCATTGGGTTTCCCCAGAGAATAAAGCTGTTTCATCCTGTATCTTCTTCGACCCAGATCAGTGGTTCATACAGCAGACCAACCCCACGTGGAGAAAAACAGGAGAAAGGGGTGCATACTCCAGAGCTGACGTGGAGTTCAAAAAAAAAAGGGGGCTCCGTCCATTGGAAGATACTCTATCCGTAGAAAAGCAACAAGAAACCCGCCTAGGCAGAGCCACAGCTGCGATCGGCAAGTTCCCAGCGCCTCGCCCCGCTTCATAGCAAGGACAAAGGAGAAGAGAAAACAAGGGGGGAAAGGGAAGACGATTGGACTTCTCGTTCGACCGTTCCTGCCGATCGCATGAGCTAAAACGTGTAGGTTAATCGGTGGAGAAGCATAAGTCCAAGCAGAGAAACATGCAAAGGAATGAGGCGAGTACAAATTGGTTTTAAGGTAGAGTACGATGAAACGGTCAGACATCGATTTTGGGTGGTATTTTTTGATACTGCTATAACTGACTGACTGCTGACTTCTCGACGTCTCTTCATTGCGTGTATGGGAGAAAATAAGATATTGCTCAGGATCCTTTGTACAACATTGCTGCGTCACCGAATGAGAAATTGGCGACGGTCGAAGATTTACGATACAACGGACAAATGCAGCGGTGGCGCTCCTTTGGGGGCTTCTATGGGGGGGGGGGGGGTTCTGAGCAACTGGAAAAAGCAGCAATGAGCTTCAGATACCGCAAATAGTGTTGGTAATGATACAAGACAGCCTTAAAGGCGACTCTTGGCCGCGGCCTTGGAGTCATCCGACGCGATGAGGACGAGAACGCAAATATCGTCGATCTTGCCGCCGTGCCAGTTCTCCTGCGGGTAGTACTTCTGCACTCCCTTGGCAAAGGGGCCGTCAACGTTGCGGTTTAGACTCGCCGACTTGGCGGCGGACGTGATTTCCGCCGCGAGCACGCTCTGCAAGGTAAGAAACTTTGCGGAAGGTCGCTCTGAGGCGTCTTCAGCGGGTTTTGTAAAGGGCTTGAGATTGTCGACGACGCGGACCCCATTCTTCGTCATGAGCCATGCGCCTGTCGTTGTCATGACATTGCTAACAATACGGAGGATGTCCTGGTTAAACAGGTTGTCCCATACACCGTCAGTTGCGAAAACGATGATATCGCCGTGACGGAGGTCATGGCGAGTGACGTCGGCGTCTTTGGGAAAGTCGCATAGGTTCTGGCCACCAAAAGCTGCCATCCGAGCGGCTACGCTGGGAGGCACGATAGAGAGCTGATAAGGCGTGTTGAAGGCATGCGTTTGGGGTTCAGAGTAGGTGTGTACGGCGTTCAATCGAAGCTGGATGAAGCCAGAGTCGCCTAGGTTGGCAATGTCGAGGTTGCCGTCTGAGGATGCTACAGCAACACACGCTGTACTGCCACCAGCAATGACGGTGCTGTCCTCATTGATCGCCTGGTATCCCTTTTGCATCAGATCTTGCGCTCTTAGCGGCTCCTTGTCACCCGTGCCCTTTGTGGTCGAGTCGTCTTTGATTGAACCGTGTCCGTAGGCTGTCGAAGCCATGTAATCGCAGAAACCGTGTGAGAAATCCGCCGGGTCAACACCAGAATCTACCCAGCCGCCGACGCCATCAGCCACACCAAGGGCTACTGCGCCAGAGTCGCCGACTCGACTGACGAAAAAGGCATCGTGTCCGCTGTCTGGTCTGGAGCGTTTGCTACGGTTCTGCTGGATACGGTTGTAGGGATTGAAGTGAAAGACGTGTGTTGATGGGTCGTAGGGATGGTCTTTCGCGGTAAAAGACGCAGCAACGTGGTAGGATAGCTTTGCAGCCGAGTCGGACTTCATGCTTCTGGCTGTTGAGAAGTATCGCGATGAGATGTTCGTCGGAGGGGTCGACCGTTGTCGGGCGAGATACTTTGAGAAGCTAACGGATGCTAAAGTATAATTAGTAAGAGGATTTTAGAATTCGATGCAAAGCAGAAGCGTACCTTGTGATAATGGCCTTGTGGCAGGGAGGAGGACCAGAGGCTGGCGCAATACTGTCACCGTTGCGGCCATTGCTTCCAATGTGCTGCGATGTAGAGTGTTTCTTGGAGATGCG